AATTATTGTTGATGCAAGATTGATATGTTTAATGTGGAATTGCACTTGTATCATGCTTTGATTTCGTGTTTTTGAGTTGTTTTTACATAGATTTGGGCTTGGGAATGAGAGGAAAACGTTGGCATCTTGGAGCCATTTTTGGACTGCCTGAGTGAGCCCAGACCTCCAGAATGTGTTCCCAACCTTATTTAGCCCCTTTTGGGAGTGAAATGATGAATAGAAACTCATTAAAGAAGGTTGTGAATAATGAAAGAAAATAGTACAATTGAAGTGAATCACTTATCGAATATGTGTGTAACACGTTTGGTGTAGGTTGTGTGCCGGAGAAAACACCACAAGATCGATCCCACTGTGAGTAATAATACCATATTTACATGTTCGTTATTGTGTACCTTAAACCATGAACGGTGATTCGTGCCAACATTGTGATTTTTTTAAAATGAGAAACCTCATTAATGTTATATAACATGTGCAACGTTGGGTTTGAGGTCGTTTTGTTATATGTTGGGTTTGAGGCCGTTTTGTTATATGTTGAGCTCGAGGCCGTTTTGATATACGTTGGGCCCGAGGCCATTTTGATATACCTTGGGCCCGAAGCTGTTTTGATATACGTTGGGCTCAAGGCCGTTTTGTTATATGTTAGGCCCAAGGCTGTTTTGATATACGTTGGGCCTGAGGCCGTTTTGTTATATATTGGGCCTGAGGCCATTTTGAAATATGATTGGGCCCGAGGCCATTTTGTTATATGTTGGGCCTGAGGCCATTTTGAAATATGATTAGGCCCGAGGCCGTTTTGTTATATGTTGGGCCTGAGGCCATTTTGAAATATGATTAGGCCCGAGGCCGTTTTGTTATATGTTGGGCCTGAGGCCATTTTGAAATATGATTAGGCCCGAGGCCGTTTTGTTATATGTTGGGCCTGAGGCCATTTTGAAATATGATTAGGCCCGAGGCCGTTTTGTTATATGTTGGGCCTGAGGCCATTTTGAAATATGATTAGGCCCGAGGCCGTTTTGTTATATGTTGGGCCTGAGGCCATTTTGAAATATGATTAGGCCCGAGGCCGTTTTGTTATATGTTGGGCCTGAGGCCATTTTGAAATATGATTAGGCCCGAGGCCGTTTTGTTATATGTTGGGCCTGAGGCCATTTTGAAATATGATTAGGCCCGAGGCCGTTTTGTTATATGTTGGGCCTGAGGCCATTTTGAAATATGATTAGGCCCGAGGCCGTTTTGTTATATGTTGGGCCTGAGGCCATTTTGAAATATGATTAGGCCCGAGGCCGTTTTGTTATATGTTGGGCCTGAGGCCATTTTGAAATATGATTAGGCCCGAGGCCGTTTTGTTATATGTTGGGCCTGAGGCCATTTTGAAATATGATTAGGCCCGAGGCCGTTTTGTTATATGTTGGGCCTGAGGCCATTTTGAAATATGATTAGGCCCGAGGCCGTTTTGTTATATGTTGGGCCTGAGGCCATTTTGAAATATGATTAGGCCCGAGGCCGTTTTGTTATATGTTGGGCCTGAGGCCATTTTGAAATATGATTAGGCCCGAGGCCGTTTTGTTATATGTTGGGCCTGAGGCCATTTTGAAATATGATTGGGCCCGAGGCCATTTTGTTATATGTTGGGCCTGAGGCCATTTTGAAATATGATTGGACCCAAGGCCATTTTCGTTATATGTTGGGCCCGAGGCCGTTTTGATATATGATTGGGCCCAAAGCCATTTTGTTATATGTTGGGTCCGAAGTCGTTTTGAAGTATGATTGGGCCTTAGGCCGTTTTGTTTATACGATTTTGGGTATTGTGAGAATCTTATGACTATCTATTGACACTATTTTACTGTATTGTTAGTCATTGAGCTTCGCTCACCCAATTTTATGTATGCACATATAGGTAATCCACAGCATGGAGCACACCCCTAGAGTCAGCTTCATGAGCCATTCTTTTTTAGACCCAATCGAGTGACACCTCCAAGATGGAGTTTCATCTCTGACTCACATCATACTTTGACTCTATTTTGTTTTTGCTATTGTGGTCTTGGGTTTGTAAATGTTATGCACAAATTTCTTTCGATACTTATATTCTTTTTGCATGGGCATGTAAATGATGTGGATGTGTTACTTTTTGTTCATATTGGTATAGCTCAATGGAATCATTCTTTTGTTGTATACTTCTGCTTTTGGCCCCATTACTATAATTACTCTGTATGTTTGTTTGAGGCCAAAGGTAATCAAGTGATTACCGGCCGGTTATGCCCCAAACTTTTAGAGGCGAGGTCGGGTCATGACAGAGTGGTATCAGAGCACAAGTTAATATCTTACACACGAGTCCGTGCAAGCAATAAGAAGTCTAGAAAGGGTTTAAGTTGCATCCATAATCAAGTATGACATGAAAATGTGCATTTGTAAATGTGACTTATGTGTTTATTATTTGGGAAAGCTATAATGTGTGTTCCTCTAGATTATGGTGAGAACAAGAGCAGAGGATGGAGAGGATTGAACCTACGCGCGACTTGATAGAATGGAGGCAATGATCATGGACATGGTTGAGGCCTTTAGAAAACAACAACAATAACAACCACCGCCACCAATGCAAGACCACCAGACTGACGATTGAACTATTGCTCTCACAAAAGAATTTAAGAAGATGAACCACCCTTGTTCAAAGGAGGAATTGACCCATTAAAGGCGGAGGCTTGAGTGCTGGGTATCGAGAAATTATTTGAAGTCTTTCCATGTATGGAGGAACATAAAGTCTTTCTAGCTGCTTTTACACTAGAGGATGAGGCGCGCCATTGGTGGATGCTTATTTGAGGAGAGCATCAAGGGATGAATTGGGCTCAATTTTTGGAGATCTTCTATGAGAAATACTTTCCACAGAGTAACCGAGACAGGAAGGTGTCAGAGTTTGAAAACTTGAAGTAAGGAAACAAGACCATAGTGGAGTATGAAGTGCAATCTACCAAATTAGCCTGTTTTGCACCGTACATGGTCGATACGGACTACAAGAAGGCGAGGAAATTTGAGGGATGTCTTCAAGACTCCATTCTTGAGAAGATCAATGTATTGCAGGTACAGAAATATGTGGATGTATTGGATAAGGCCATCATAGTGGAAGGTAACCAAGCCAACCACAACTAGTACTCGGATTGGAAGGGCAAAAGGCAAGGCTCCATTGTGCATAAAGGGTCGGCATCCTCACAAAGTAAGAAACAAAATTTGGGAACTTCCAACACTTCAGGTTCTACTTATGATTCGTTACCAACTTACCCAGAGTGCGGAAAGAAGCGCCAGAGGGTTTTTTATCGAGCATCAGGAGCTTGCTTTAATTATGGAAAGACGAGGCATATGGTGAGAGATTGTCCTATGTTTGGGCAACAAAAAGGGAATAGGCCATCTGCTAGTTCAGCCGGCTCCACTCCTGCAACAAAGACCCTGGCAAGGCCTATTACTTCTAGAGACAACGTTAGGCAAGGGGGAGTCTTTGCTCTTGTTCCGGGTGATGTCCAAAATTCAGATGCTGTGGTTTCAGGTACGCTTTCCATCAATGGCCAACCTGCTCATATGCTACTTGATTCGGGTTCCACCCATTCCTTTGTTTCAAAAACATTTGCTCCTAATTTGAATAGATATATGGAACCCTTGAATTATGTGTTGTGCGTGTCTCTCCCATTCGGGGACTATGTGTTGTGTGCTTCTATGTATCCTGCATGTGAGCTTTTACTTAAAGATATTCCATTGTGGGCTAATTTGATGCCTCTTGATATGGTACACTTTGATATAATTTTGGGAATGGATTGGTTAGCTAAGTATCATACAACCATTGATTGTGTGTCTAAGCAAGTTGTTTTCCGCCCACCGGGTCAGGGTGAGTTTACTTTTTTGGGACATGGGGTGGTCCCTCCGCCCTATTTGATATCGGCTATGAAAGCTTGTAAACTACTTCATAAGGGTTATAGGGGTTATTTGTGTATTATTTTGCATGCAGAGACAACTGAGGTGGGTGTTGAAAATATTCAAATTGTTAGTGAGTTTCCAGATGTATTTCATGAAGAATTTCCAGGGGACTTGATAGATCGTGAGATTGAATTTGTCATTGATATTGTACCGGGTACTCAACCTATTTCGAAGGCTCTGTACAGAATGTCTCTGGCAGAAATGAAGGAATTGAAAATACAGTTGCAAGAATTGCTTGACAAAGGGTTCATTTGATCGAGTACATCGCCATGGGGTGCATCGATTTTGTTTGTGAAAAAGAAGAATGGGACCCTTCAGTTGTGTATTGATTACCAAGAACTTAATAAGGTAACGGTGAAGAATAAATATCCGTTACCACAGATTGATGATTTGTTTGACCAATTACAGGGGGCACAAGTGTTTTCAAAAATCGACTTGAGATCCGGGTACCATCAGTTGAAAGTCAAAGCAGAGGATATTGAGAAGACTGCATTTCGAACCACGTACGGCCATTACGAATTTTTAGTTTTGCCATTTGGGGTTACGAATGCACCGACAACTTTTATGGATTTAATGAATCGGATTTTCAAACTGCACTTGGACTAGTTTGTGGTGGTATTCATTGATGACATTCTTATTTATTCGAAGAGTAGGGAGGAATATGAAAGGCACTTGAGATTAATTCTTCAAACACTTAGGGACAAGAAGTAACATCCTAAATTGAAGAAATGTGAATTTTGGTTGAATGAAGTTGTGTTTTTGGGGCATGTAATTAACAAGGATGGTGTGTCTGTCGATCCGCAAAAGATAGAAGTTATTGTGAATTAGCCTACTTCCACCAACACTGTAGAAGTACATAGTTTTATGGCTTTAGCTGGTTACTACCGAAGATTTGTTAAAGATTTCTCTAAGATTGCGGTGCCGCTTACCCTATTGACTCAAAAAGGTGTTCCATTTGAGTGGACAGAACAGCGGGAGTCTGCTTTCCAAGAATTAAAAACAAGGCTCACAACGGCATCGGTTCTCGCCTTACCATCAGGTACAAAAGGGTTTGTTATTTATAGTGATGTTTCTCATAAGGGTTTGGGGTGTGAACTTATGCAAAATGGAAGGGTAATTGCGTTTGCATCTTGACAATTGAAGCCACATGAAAGGAATTACCCTACGCATGATTTGGAATTAACTGATGTGGTATTTACATTGAAGATATGGCGGCATTATCTTTATGGAGCAACGTGTGAAGTCTACACCAACCACAAGAGCCTCAAGTATTTCTTTACTCAAAAAGGGCTTAATATGCAACAAAGACAGTGGTTAGAACTCATCAAGGATTATGACTTATAGATTCATTATCATCTTGGCAAAGCCAACACGGTAGCGGATGCTCTTAGTAGAAAGTCAATAGGAAACTTAGCATGTTTGCTTATGGAGTAGAATGAACTATTACTTGACTTGGAAAAAATGGAGGTGAAAATTGTACTACATGAGCAAGATGGAATGTTGGCCGCAATGACCGCACAACTGGCTATTATTGAGGAAATTAAACAAAGGCAATTGAAGTATGAATTCCTCAAGAAAGTATATGATGAGATGGAAGCAAAACCGAGGCCGGGATTTTCTTTGGAAGCTTAATTGTTGAAGTTCAAGGGAAGATTGTGTATTCCAAAGGTCGCTGAAGTTAAAGGAAGAGTCTTGGAAGAAGCTTACAAGTCCAGGTTTGCTATGCATCCTAGGAATACCAAAATGTACCAAGATCTCAAGCAAGCCTTTTGGTGGCGTAATATGAAGAGAGAAATTGCGGAATTCATTTCAAGGCGCCTTCAATGTCAACAAGTGAAAGTGGAGCACCAAAGACCGGCGGGGTTACTTCAACCTCTTCGTATTCTAGAATAGAAGTGGGAGCATATAACTATGGATTTTATTGTGGGCTTACCCTGAACACCCCGAGGTATGGATTCTATATGGGTTGTTATGGATAGATTGACTAAAGACCACACTTCATTTTACCCCCTATGGTATACGCCATGTGCGGATCACCGCCTTGACGTTCGAATATCACCGCATAACCCCCCTGTGGTTGATGGAGTGAAGTGCACAGTTTGTTTTTTCATCTATTCTAACAGGCTGTGCAATACACACGAGGGTTGTGCAATTGGTCATGGAAAAATAATTTTTTATCCAAATTAAATGACTAAAATGCCCTCATCTTCATCACCAATTTCCAAAGCAGTCCTTCTTCTTCATTTTCAAAACCCTGATCTGGAAATCTCTACCCAGAAGAAGGGGAAAAAAAAAAGAGTAAAATTACAAACTCCCACCGATACCTCCATAATCAAACCACTCCCAGTCAAAGTAATCAATTACAAATGTTCAAGTTTGATCAAATCAATTGGTGTTAAATTATGACAAGTAAATAAAAAGAAAAACAAAATTTGAATCACCAACTCTAACATACACACACACACATATATATATATATATAAACCTACAAATTGTATCACGAACATATATATGCACAGTGAATAATATATATATTATCCAATCATTCAATATTTTAGAAATCAATTTAAAATCTAAATACTAAATTCCTAAAATCATTCACAGCAATGGGTATCTCTCTTATTTCTCATCCAAGACATTGTCATTTTGATCGTCTTCGCACACTTTGTATATCACCTTTAATGGTGCTCACACATCCCATTCAACGAACGATTCAGCATAAAACGGGTTCAAATCCAAACCCATTTCTATTTTAAACTCAAAATTCGATTCGATCAAGACCCATTTGCGAACTTCGATTGTCGAATCATAATGATGATGGGTTTGTTCTGGTTCGGTGGAATTGAAAGTAAAGGTTCAACTGTCATCGATGGTTTACAAAAGTCATTATGATTGTGTACAGGTTTAGCCTGTGTATTTCCAGGTTCGGCCATGGATGTTATAGTCCATGGTTGCTATGTTTTGTTATGTAATATAGACTGCTTTTGTTAGTTTTGGTTAGTTCTTGATGGTGTAGAACTATTGACTTAGTTTAGTGTTTTGTCATCATCTATCTGATAACTTAGGTGCTATGTAGAGGTGGTCTCGCCGTCCATGGTCGCAGTTTCAGTCGTCCACTATGTTTTTCGTGGGTTTCATCCGTCTATGGTTATGATTTTGTTTAATTATAGAGAAATGGTACGGTTGTAATTTTAAAGAGAGAAGGAGGAAGAACATGGCGTGTCTTTGTTGTTTAAATTAATTTGTTAAATCAAAATCCTAATTTCATATATCAAAACCCTAAGTTCTCCCTCTTGTTCTTCTCAAATGCACAACTGTTGAAGAAGAAATGTTAAACAAAGGTTATATATACAAGGGCAAAATAATCTTTTTACTTCTGATGTTGACGGTGGTAATTGTGCATTTCACTCCATCAACCACAGGGGGGTTATGTAGTGATATTCGAATGTCAGAGAGGTGATTCACACATGGCCTATACCATAGGGGGTAAAGTGAAGTTTGCCCTTGACTAAATCTGCTCACTTTTTGCCTGTGAAGATTGTTTATAATGCTGATCGACTTGCTATTGTGTACATTGCTGAGATTATTCGATTGCACGGCGTTCCGGTTTCCATTGTGTCGGATAGAGATTCTAAGTTTGTGTCAAGGTATTGGCACAGCTTACAAAAAGCATTGGGGACGGAGTTGAAGTTTAGTACCGCATTTCATCTACAAACTGATGGACAATCTGAAAGAACTATACAAACGTTGGAGGACATGCTCCGATTGTGTGTTTTGGATTTCCGTGAAAGTTGGGAAACTCATTTACCTTTGGCAGAATTTTTTTATAACAACAGTTTCCACTCTAGTATTAGAATGGCACCATATGAAGCTTTGTATGGGAGAAAATGTCGAACTCTGATTTGTTGGACAGAGGTTGGGGATAGGTCGTTGATTGGGCCTAAAATTGTGCAAGTTACTATGGAAAAGATTCAAATCATCCAACAGAGATTGAAAACTGCTTAAAGCCGACAAAAGAGCTATGAGGATCAAATAAGGAGAGACTTGGAGTTTGAAGTTGGGGTTCATGTTTTTGTCAAAGTCACTCCAATGAAAGGGCACATAAGATTTGGGGAAAAAAAAGGAAAATTATCACCCCGGTACATAGGGGCGTATCAGATTTTGGAAAGATTAGGTCCGGTTGCCTATCAGGTTGCTTTACCATCGGGCATGGAGCAAGTGCACAATGTGTTTCACGTATCAATGTTGTGAGGCTACCTTCGGGACCCTTCTCATGTTATTGACTATCATCAAATTGTGCTAGATGACAATATGGCTTATGAGGAGAAACCCCATCGAATCCTTGATCGGCAAGTCAAACAACTAAGGAACAAGGCTATCCCAATGATAAAAGTGGAATGGAGGGAACATCATGGAAGCGAAGCCACTTGGAAACGAGAAGAAGAAATGAGGCAACAATAATCGGAATTATTTTCAACTTAAGGTAAACAAGTTTGGAGGACCAAACTCCATAAAGGGGGGAGACTATGACAACCCAACCCATACTATACTTAATTATGCACGTGATTATGTGATTGATATGAATTTTTAAATTTAAGTATGTGAATTATGTAAATTTGGAAAAATATCTGTGGAAAGTAGAAATATCTGTTGTAATTGAGACTTTGAACCGAAATTGAAGGCCTTAGAGGTGCGATAAACAAAAACCGACTTCATATCTATGATTAACATGATTTATAAAGCTTACAGTGAAATTTTGAAAAATTATGATCCGTAATGATTTAATCACGTTTTATAAGTTAGGTCATATATGAGTTAGGGCAAACTTCACTTTACCCTCTATGGTTTGGGCCATGTGTGAATTACCACCCTGGCATTCAAATATCACCACATAACCCCCTTGTGGTTGGTGGACTAAAACGCTTAGTTAGCTTTTCCATTAAAGTGAGAGTCACGCGCTTGCAATGAGAGTAACACTATTTTTAAGACGAAAATTCCCTTGGCACATCTTCAAATTTATAAACAATGCCATCAGATCTGTAAACCTCTAGTCAGGAGAAGAAAAAAAGAAAAAAAGATGAGAGATGGTTTGATCTTACTGAATATGGTTTGATGTTCGTACTACCAAAATTTTTTGAGCTTCTTACTACCTAACTCCGGTCAATCCCATTCTGGCGCCACTCTCTGCAAATTATATAATATATGTGTGTGTGTGTGTGTGTGTGTGTATCAAAGCTAATTTCAATTCATCAAAA